AAATATTTATTGTATGTATGTACCTTACCTAAATAAAATTGTATTGTATTGTATTGTATAAGAAGCGGGTGGAAGAAGCGGGTGGAAGAGTCTGCGGGAAAGTGGCGCCATATTTCACCAGTATGAATGAAGGATGACACAGTAATGGCTTTATAATTGTCCCAGACTGAACCCTGGCGAGCTGAGGTCCAGATGAACAGTCACAGTACCAGGGGCCAGGGTTGACAGTCACAGTACCAGGGGCCAAGGAACACAGTCACAGTACCAGGGGCCAGGGTTGACAGTCACAGTACCAGGGGCCAGGGTTGACAGTCACAGTACCAGGGGCCAGGGTTGACAGTCACAGTACCAGGGGCCAAGGAACACAGTCACAGTACCAGGGGCCAGGGTTGACAGTCACTGTACCAGGGGCCAGGGTTGACAGTCACAGTACCAGGGGCCAGGGTTGACAGTCACAGTACCAGGGGCCAGGGTTGACAGTCACAGTACCAGGGACCAGGGTTGACAGTCACAGTACCAGGGGCCAGGGTTGACAGTCACAGTACCAGGGGCCAAGGAACACAGTCACAGTACCAGGGGCCAGGGTTGACAGTCACTGTACCAGGGGCCAGGGTTGACAGTCACAGTACCAGGGGCCAGGGTTGACAGTCACAGTACCAGGGGCCAGGGTTGACAGTCACAGTACCAGGGGCCAGGGTTGACAGTCACAGTACCAGGGGCCAGGGTTGACAGTCACAGTACCAGGGGCCAGGGTTGACAGTCACAGTACCAGGGGCCAGGGTTGACAGTCACAGTACCAGGGGCCAGGGTTGACAGTCACAGTACCAGGGGCCAAGGAACACAGTCACAGTACCAGGGGCCAGGGTTGACAGTCACTGTACCAGGGGCCAGGGTTGACAGTCACTGTACCAGGGGCCAGGGTTGACAGTCACAGTACCAGGGGCCAGGGCTCACACAGTCACAGTACCAGGGGCCAAGGAACACAGTCACAGTACCAGGGGCCAGGGTTGACAGTCACAGTACCAGGGGCCAAGGAACACAGTCACAGTACCAGGGGCCAGGGCTCACACAGTCACAGTACCAGGGGCCAGGGCTCACACAGTCACAGTACCAGGGGCCAAGGAACACAGTCACAGTACCAGGGGCCAGGGTTGACAGTCACAGTACCAGGGGCCAAGGAACACAGTCACAGTACCAGGGGCCAGGGCTCACACAGTCACAGTACCAGGGGCCAAGGAACACAGTCACAGTACCAGGGGCCAGGGCTCACACAGTCACAGTACCAGGGGCCAGGGCTCACACAGTCACAGTACCAGGGGCCAGGGAAGACAACAGAGCACCATGGTTCCACTGGGGTAACAGTTACCCAAGATGGTGTAGCGGAATTATGATAAAACTTACAAGACGCCTTACATTGTAATCTGTGGTTTGCGGTGTTGGGCGCTAGTTGACTAACAAGGTAGTGTGGGATTGGTCCATTTGGTGCCACCAGTGCCAGCCTGGGGGGGGGGCTGAGGCACCAGGGGGGTGGGGGTTGAGATGGCAGGTTGTGTGGTAATACCTGATGTAACAAGCCTCAACTACCCCCATTTTACTAGGGTAATGACGCTTGTTAGTCCTGCCATTGTTCCTGTGGCGGTGTGACCATGTCTGGGGAGGTCTGCGTCGTCTGGACCACACTGACACACTTGAGGGACGGAGGGAGGGGGGAGAGAGAGAGAGAGAGAGAGAGAGAGAGAGAGAGAGAGAGAGAGAGAGAGAGAGAGAGAGAGAGAGAGAGAGAGAGAGAGAGAGAGAGAGAGAGAGAGAGAGAGAGAGAGAGACAGAGAGACAGAGAGACAGAGAGACAGAGAGACAGAGAGACAGAGAGAGAGAGAGAGAGAGAGAGAGAGAGAGAGAGAGAGAGAGAGAGAGAGAGAGAGACAGAGAGACAGAGAGACAGAGAGACAGAGAGACAGAGAGACAGAGAGACAGAGAGACAGAGAGACAGAGAGACAGAGAGACAGAGACAGAGAGACAGAGACAGAGACAGAGAGAGAGAGAGAGAGAGAGAGAGAGAGAGAGAGAGAGAGAGAGAGAGAGACAGAGAGAGAGAGAGAGAGCAACATGGACCACCACAGGGCCACCACACACACACTCATCACAATACACAACCTTCACAGATCTCTAACCTTATGACGTGTCTTCCTACTATATATGATGTCATTGGTGACACACACACACACACACACCAGCACGGGGGGCCATACCTACACTATAACCACAAATGTGCCACAAAGATAAACAAAATACTATATTAGAGTCATCAATAACTCGACATTGTTCAGGTGGAGGTCAGTGTACAAGGTGGAGGTCAGTGTACAAGGTGGAGGTCAGTGTACAAGGTGGAGGTCAGTGTACAAGGTGGAGGTCAGTGTACAAGGGTACAGCAGCACCAGAGGTGGGCACATACCCCAACACAGGTGGGTCAGTGTACAAGGGTACAGCAGCACCAGAGGTGGGTACATACCCCAACACAGGTGGAGGTCAGTGTACAAGGGTACAGCAGCACCAGAGGTGGGCACATACCCCAACACAGGTGGGTCAGTGTACAAGGGTACAGCAGCACCAGAGGTGGGCACATACCCCAACACAGGTGGGTCAGTGTACAAGGGTACAGCAGTACCAGAGGTGGGCACATACCCCAACACAGGTGGGTCAGTGTACAAGGGTACAGCAGCACCAGAGGTGGGTACATACCCCAACACAGGTGGAGGTCAGTGTACAAGGGTACAGCAGCACCAGAGGTGGGCACATACCCCAACACAGGTGGGTCAGTGTACAAGGGTACAGCAGCACCAGAGGTGGGTACATACCCCAACACAGGTGGAGGTCAGTGTACAAGGGTACAGCAGCACCAGAGGTGGGCACATACCCCAACACAGGTGGAGGTCAGTGTACAAGGGTACAGCAGCACCAGAGGTGGGCACATACCCCAACACAGGTGGGTCAGTGTACAAGGGTACAGCAGCACCAGAGGTGGGCACATACCCCAACACAGGTGGGTCAGTGTACAAGGGTACAGCAGTACCAGAGGTGGGCACATACCCCAACACAGGTGGGTCAGTGTACAAGGGTACAGCAGCACCAGAGGTGGGTACATACCCCAACACAGGTGGAGGTCAGTGTACAAGGGTACAGCAGCACCAGAGGTGGAGGTCAGTGTACAAGGGTACAGCAGCACCAGAGGTGGAGGTCAGTGTACAAGGGTACAGCAGTACCAGAGGTGGGTACATACCCCAACACAGGTGGAGGTCAGTGTACAAGGGTACAGCAGCACCAGAGGTGGGTACATACCCCAACACAGGTGGAGGTCAGTGTACAAGGGTACAGCAGCACCAGAGGTGGGTACATACCCCAACACAGGTGGAGGTCAGTGTACAAGGGTACAGCAGCACCAGAGGTGGGTACATACCCCAACACAGGTGGAGGTCAGTGTACAAGGGTACAGCAGCACCAGAGGTGGGCACATACCCCAACACAGGTGGAGGTCAGTGTACAAGGGTACAGCAGTACCAGAGGTGGGTACATACCCCAACACAGGTGGAGGTCAGTGTACAAGGGTACAGCAGCACCAGAGGTGGAGGTCAGTGTACAAGGGTACAGCATCACCAGAGGTGGAGGTCAGTGTACAAGGGTACAGCAGCACCAGAGGTGGGTACATACCCCAACACAGGTGGAGGTCAGTGTACAAGGGTACAGCAGCACCAGAGGTGGGTACATACCCCAACACAGGTGGAGGTCAGTGTACAAGGGTACAGCAGCACCAGAGGTGGGTACATACCCCAACACAGGTGGAGGTCAGTGTACAAGGGTACAGCAGCACCAGAGGTGGGTACATACCCCAACACAGGTGGAGGTCAGTGTACAAGGGTACAGCAGCACCAGAGGTGGGTACATACCCCAACACAGGTGGAGGTCAGTGTACAAGGGTACAGCAGCACCAGAGGTGGGCACATACCCCAACACAGGTGGAGGTCAGTGTACAAGGGTACAGCAGCACCAGAGGTGGGTACATACCCCAACACAGGTGGAGGTCAGTGTACAAGGGTACAGCAGCACCAGAGGTGGGTACATACCCCAACACAGGTGGAGGTCAGTGTACAAGGGTACAGCAGCACCAGAGGTGGGTACATATCCCAACACAGGTGGAGGTCAGTGTACAAGGGTACAGCAGCACCAGAGGTGGGTACATACCCCAACACAGGTGGAGGTCAGTGTACAAGGGTACAGCAGCACCAGAGGTGGGTACATACCCCAACACAGGTGGAGGTCAGTGTACAAGGGTACAGCAGCACCAGAGGTGGGCACATACCCCAACACAGGTGGAGGTCAGTGTACAAGGGTACAGCAGCACCAGAGGTGGATACATACCCCAACACAGGTGGAGGTCAGTGTACAAGGGTACAGCAGCACCAGAGGTGGATACATACCCCAACACAGGTGGAGGTCAGTGTACAAGGGTACAGCAGCACCAGAGGTGGGCACATACCCCAACACAGGTGGAGGTCAGTGTACAAGGGTACAGCAGCACCAGAGGTGGGTACATACCCCAACACAGGTGGTCAGTGTACAAGGGTACAGCAGCACCAGAGGTGGGCACATACCCCAACACAGGTGGAGGTCAGTGTACAAGGGTACAGCAGCACCAGAGGTGGGCACATACCCCAACACAGGTGGAGGTCAGTGTACAAGGGTACAGCAGCACCAGAGGTGGGTACATACCCCAACACAGGTGGAGGTCAGTGTACAAGGGTACAGCAGCACCAGAGGTGGGCACATACCCCAACACAGGTGGAGGTCAGTGTACAAGGGTACAGCAGTACCAGAGGTGGATACATACCCCAACACAGGTGGAGGTCAGTGTACAAGGGTACAGCAGTACCAGAGGTGGGTACATACCCCAACACAGGTGGAGGTCAGTGTACAAGGGTACAGCAGCACCAGAGGTGGATACATACCCCAACACAGGTGGAGGAGGCCAGCCACAATGATGATGAAGAGTGCCAGGAGCTTGGCGCCGGTGAAGACGGTCTGGATCCTCATGGAGAGGCGGACGCTCACACAGTTTATGAAGGTGAGTGTACCTGTGAGGGCGAGAGCTCTAGTTAGTACACACCCACACCACCACCACACTTGTTACACATCCCCACACCCCACTACACATATCCCGTGCCTGCTATACACACCCCAGGGCCGCTATACACACCCCAGGGCCGCTATACACACCCTAGGGCCGCTATACACACCCCTGGGCCGCTATACACACCCCAGGGCCGCTATACACACCCTAGGGCCGCTATACACACCCCAGGGCCGCTATATACACCCTAGGGCCGCTATACACACCCCAGGGCCGCTATACACACCCAAGGGCCGCTATACACACCCCAGGGCCGCTATACACACCCCAGGTCCGCTATAAACACCCCAGGGCCGCTATACACACCCCAGGGCCGCTGTAAACACCCCAGGGCCGCTATACACACCCCAGGGCCGCTATACACACCCCAGGGCCGCTATACACACCCCAGGGCCGCTATACACACCCCCAGGGCCGCTATACACACCCCTAGGGCCGCTATACACACCCCTAGGGCCGCTATACACACCCCTAGGGCCGCTATACACACCCAGGGCTGCTATACACACCCCTAGGGCCGCTATACACACCCCAGGGCCGCTATACACACCCCAGGGCCGCTATACACACCCCAGGGCCGCTATACACACCACAGGGGCCGCTATACACACCCCAGGGGCCGCTATACACACCCCAGGGCCGTTATACACACCCCAGGGCCGCTATACACACCCCAGGGCCGCTATACACACCCCAGGGCCGCTATACACACCCCAGGGCCGCTATACACACCCCAGGGCCGCTATACACACCCCCAGGGCCGCTATACACACCCCAGGGCCGCTATACACACCCCAGGGCCGCTATACACACCCCAGGGCCGCTATACACACCCCAGGGCCGCTATACACACCCCAGGGCCGCTATACACACCCCAGGGATGATCACTTTCATTGTGATGTGAGTGAGACGTAACAGTCTCCGTGGTGTAGTGGTACAGTCTCCGTGGTGTAGTGGTAAGACCCTCGCCTGGCGTTCCGCGAGCGCTATGTCATGGGTTCGTATCCTGGCCGGGGAGGATTTACTGGGCGTAATTCCTTAACTGTAGCCTCTGTTTAACTCAACAGTAAAATGTGTACTTGGTTGTAACAACGATTCTTCGCAGCAGGGGATCGTATTCCAGGGACCATAGGATTAAGGACCTGCCCGGAACGCTACGCGTACTAGTGGCTGTACAAGAATGTAACAACTCTTGTATATATCTCAAAAAAAAAAAAAAAAAAAAAGAATATGACCGCCTCCCCTGCTCTACGGGCCGACTGTACACCCTGGGCAGACTCCAGCCTGGAGTCTCACCTGAACCTCCCAGTTAATTCAGTAGAGTTCCGGGTTGGTGGACTTTTGTATCAGCCTCGCAGAATCGGCTTGTTTTTGGTCCCGTCAAAACAAATGATTATTTATCCACGTTTCTGTGACTGCAATACCTGTTGTCTCTGTGCACACCGGTGCACTTTGTCACGTGTTACAATTCAGTACCATCACCGTAGCTGAGCCTCGTGTTAGACATACAGTGATACAAGCCCACAACCTCCTCGGCATCACTCACAAAAAAGGACAACAGCTTCCTGGAACACGTTTCGTAAAGTATGGCGGGTTTGTTTACATTCACAGTGAATGAGCTCCTAAACCACTATACGAGGTTGTTGCTAACAATAATAATCTTGGGTTGTGAAGCTCCCAAGCTCGTTAGCTGTTTAATTAATGCAGACAATACCGACAATGATTCAGGAAAGATGTATAAGTTTCGTACGTGGTTGGTCAGATGCTTAGTGTAATGAAAGAGGGGCCGCTGGTCGGGTCTCAGTTAATTCACACCAGCAAGACATGACAGACATGGTAGGAAATGCTGGGAAGATCCAGCTAAGAGTCCAGGTGCCATAGGTACAGTAAGAGAACACTGTATGAACATTATTGAACACTGTATGAACATTACTAAACACTGTATGAACATTACAAAACATGATGAACATTCTTGAAGAATTACATTTGCCAAAGGGAACCTTGTATCTGGCCTCCTGCTCCCTACATTTATTTTCATTACTTTACATTGACTCGGGTTAAACTCTAACAGCCATTTGTTGGACCATTCCTTCAGTTTGTCCAGGTTATCTTGAAGCCTCAAGCTGTCCTATTCTATCTTAAACCTTCTCATAATTTTGGCGTCGTGAGCAAACATTGAGAGGAATGAGTCTATACCCTCCGGGAGATCATTTACGTATATCAGAAACAAGAAAGTTCAGAGTACAGAGCCCTGTGGGACTTCACTGGTGACTTCACGCCATTCTGAGGTCTCACCTCTCACTGTAACTCTCTACTTCCTATTGCTTAGGTACTCCCTTATCCACTGGAGCGCCCTACCAGTTACTCTTGCCTATATCTCCAACTTATGCACCAGCCTCTTATGGGGTACTGCGTTAAAGGTTTTCCGACAGTCCAAGAAAATGCAGTCTGCCCACCCTTATCTTTTGTGTGTGTGTGTGTGTGTGTGTGTGTGTGTGTGTGTATGTGTATGTGTATGTGTATGTGTGTGTGCGTGTGTGCGTGTGTGTGTGTGGTGTGCACTTACCTACTTTTCGGTTACTTTTCGAAGATTTCGAGGATCAAAAACGTGTTGGCGACCCGGTCTCTATCCAGGCCTGCTGGTCAACCAGGCTGTTTGACGCAGCTGCATGCACCCAGCCTGGTTGATCAGGTACCGCTATGGAGGTGTTTATCGAGTTCTCTCTTGAACACTGTGAGGGGCCGGCCAGTTATGCCCCTTATGTGTAGCGGGAGAGTGTTGAACAGTCTCGGGACCCTTGGGATCCACCTCTGACTCCCCCACATGATATGGTGGAGAGTCCTAGGCCACAAGATCCACTTCTGACTCCACCACATGATGTGGTGGAGAGTCCTGGGCCACAAGATCCACCTCTGACTCTACCACATCATGTGGTGGAGAGTCCTGGGCCACAAGATCCACCTCTGACTCCCCCACATGATGTGGTGGAGAGTCCTGGGCCACAAGATCCACCTCTGACTCCACCACATGATGTGGTGGAGAGTCCTGGGCCACAAGATCCACCTCTGACTCCACCACATGATGTGGTGGAGAGTCCTGGGCCACAAGATCCACCTCTGACTCCCCCACATGATGTGATGGAGAGTCCTGGGCCACAACATCCCCCGGGCCCCAATGAGGTTGTTGTGTATAAGAGTGTGGTGTGACGGTGTATGTGTGTGTGGCCGTGAGCGGCCTTGGTGGCTGCAGGTCGTCATTGTGGGAGTGTTATAGGTGGCTGGTGGCCGTGGGTGTCGCCCCAGATTACTCCTCCACGCCACTACTGTGTCCCACGGTGAAGGCCCCGACGCCACACACGCCTCGCCTTGTCCCCTTAACGCCTCATGCTTCTCATTGGTCTCATCTGGATGTGCCAGGAAGCTGCGGTTTTACGAGTCTTAAAGCTTTAACATGTATAAGCACAGGCCAACTACGGTGACTGCTATATAGGTGTGTGTGTGCTCTGGTGCTGTCAGGGATGTGTGTAGGGATGTGCCTCGTATGGGTGTGTTCTGCCCTCTCAACCCGCGGGTCCAAGTATTGTCTTGTGTATATCTTGCACCACGGCTTCAGACATGACCTGTCACTTACTGCATATTGATCTCTCGTCATGACATGCAATGTCACTTATTGTGTTCTCTTGGTAGTCTTTCACTCATCTCTCTCTCACCTCCTGCTCTGTCTATCTTTCTCTGTTGTCTACCTGTCACCTCCTGCCCTGTCTATCTTTCCCTCTGTTGTCTACCTGTCACCTCCTGCCCTGTCTATCTTTCTCTCTGTTGTCTACCTGTCACCTCCTGCCCTGTCTATCTTTCTCTCTGGTTGTCTACCTGTCACCTCCTGCCCTGTCTATCTTTCCCTCTGGTTGTCTACCTGTCACCTGCTGCCCTGTCTACCTCCCTCGCTCCCCCTCCACCTCCTCCCTGCTGTCCTGTCCACCTCTGTCTCCCCTGCTGTCACTCCAGTAACCCTCCCCCCCCTCCGTTCCCTACATATTGGGCGACCCTATTTGGTGATCCTGTTAAAGGTAATGAAAGCTCTTTCCGACCCTCATGAGCGGGCCGCCTGGCGAAGGGGAATCTGATCCTTTTAACAGGCAAACTGTGGTAGGTGACTTGTGACCGGAGCTCTGACTGTGGACTTTATGGGTGTTGGCTCCCATGGCGTCCACTAACCAATGACATGGGTGAAATGAGGCTGGCAGAGCCCCTAGAATTTCATTATTTTACGGCATCGGGATGATACCTGGTTGATACCTGGTTGATACCTGGTTGATGGGGTTCTGGGAGTTCTTCTACTCCCCAAGCCCGGCCCGAGGCCAGGCTTGACTTATGAGAGTTTGGGATGACTCAGATCAGATAGGAAAGAAATTACCGATTCCCAACGACCTGAAAGTACTAGTATAAAAAGCTATGATTTGTTCAGATCTGAAACCTATATCTATGGGCAGCACAAAACGTCCACTAGACTGTGTGACACAGTGATTGCAAGGATCAGGTTGGGTTACCGTTACCTGTGGCAGGTGGCTGCAGGTGACGGGTCTCCCAATCCTGAGCACTCCAGGTGTGTACAAACTCTGTGAGCAGGAACTACGGCATGATCTCCCACACTACATCACTGAATGCCCAGTTATTAGACCTTTCAGACCCGTTGGCATGAGGTACCTGGAGCTTTGCAATTACTTTATTCACTCTCGTGTTCTTGAAGATATCCTTATATTGCACCCAACGTTTGCCAGTGCAGACTACTGAACATGTGGCCCTGTATGATTAATCCTGCGTGATGGGGATGTTTAGCATCACGTAGATGGTTTTTTGACACACACTGTACTCCCCCTTCATATAGTCTAGGGCAGCTAGTTCTTGACACACACTGTACTCCCCTTCATATAGTCTAGGGCAGCT